AGGGAAAATTTAAAAGGCTCAAAGTAGCAGATTGTTAAATTTTTGCCGATATTCAAGAGTAAACAAACGACCTCACACATCTAATACACGCCAGCTGGTGGGTCTAATATGCATTCACAAATTTGGTGATGATATTTATACAATTATTACAGTATTGCATAACAGTAAATCTTCTATTTTTTGGTGTGAATAAAAATTCATTATGTGAATAAAAAATCAAAATGGAATTTATTTGTAAAGCCTCAAACGTAACTAATGAACAGAGGAAATGTTAGTTTAGTTCCAGGAATACCTACATTGTTTATTCTGGACCCTATTTTGAAATTGGAATATTTTGAACTTTGTGTTAAATTGGCCAAATTAACAATTTCCGATCACTTTTATTTGTAGTTGAAACAGTTGACTTGGTGATTTCTTGTGCTCAATCGATAGAATAGAAGTAATACTAGTGAAATAGCTAAGAATTTTGTTGACTGGAATAATGTAATTGGCCTAAAATGGGAGTCAAAGTCGGCAAAATCGCCGATTCGTAAATATCGCTGACACATCAAAATTCGCGAGAGCATAATTTTGTCAATTTTCCATCAAATTTTGTACTTTTTGTTTTATTACCTTCACAAAAAGATTCTCTACCATTTCATAAGAAAAAATAACAAATTTTTTTTTTGAAAAATCTTGGACACTGGGGCACCACTTCAGATTTGGGCCTTGGACCCTGAAGGGGTTAATTTAGCTCCTCTATGTCCGTCTAGCATCTTTCTTTTCTCTCTTTGGGAGATTACTTTTTCCAAGCTACTTATTGGACACACATCTCACTCAGAGACGTCTGCTGGGTAAACGATTGACACCACTTGGTGAAGATTGCGTGGTTCTGTTGTCAGCACCATCTCTTAACATGTTAGATTGTCCTGCCTATCATTGGGCAGCCCAACTTGCAGTAAGTTTAGGACTTAGTTGATTATATTATTTTCTTAGTTTCATGAACCTACATAAGTTAATTTTAGATAGTTCTTACATTTGGTATACTTACACAGTGGACCCTTGTTTTTCGTAATTAATCCGTTCCAGAGAGCGTGACTATTATCGAAATTGACGATTTGTGAATCCATTTTCCCCATGAGAAATAATGTAAATCCAATTAATTCGTTCCAGACACCCAGAAGTATCAACAATTTTTTTTTTTACCTGAAAGATAGGCTTACATGCACAAAAGAATGAACATTCAACATGACAGTTACCTTTATTTAAGGCTGTTGTTGGTGAATGGAAGACAGGGAGGAGGAGAGAGGGAAGAGAGGTTATTGTTTGGAAGGGAAATCCCCCTCCATAAGGATTCTAGGTCACTTCAGGGGTCACTTCCCTAGCTTAAATATAGATTTACCTGCAGAAAAGAATGCCAAATAAATGTAAAGCACCTTTTGTTGGTGTATGGCAGACGGGGCAGAGACAGGGGAGGTGAGTTTGTTGTTTGAGAATATGACGCTATCACTCTACGGCTTATTTATCTATCACAGTTCAACTAATATGACATAATAAACAATATTAATAACATAGAAACATGGAATATACTCTAGAATGAATAAAATAAGTCATTATGTATGTCATGAGAGGTGTTGTGTTGTTGGGTGTATAAGGGCCACTGAGAGTAAGCTGTCCATAATGGTGGTGAAGCAGCAGCTGAGGTGGCGGTGTTTTCTGTAGCCCTATATAACTCCAACAACATTGGAGGGGTTAGTAGAATCGCTCAATCACTGAAGAAGGCACCCTCTACCACCATCACAACCACTATCACTACCACCGTCTACCACTATCACTACCACCGTCTACCACTATCACTACCACCGTCTACCACTATCACTACCACCGTCTACCACTATCACTACCACCGTCTACCACTATCACTACCACCGTCTACCACTATCACTACCACCATCTACCACTATCACAACCACTACCACACTCTACCACCATCACTACCACCCTCTACCACTATCACAGC